TCAGCTGTAATGACTGAGACGTGACTGATGAATGAATTGATGTCCTATATACATATCTATACATGTAAATATATATATATATATATAGCTAATCAATTAAGGTACAAATTACAATCATGTGAAAAAGAAACCTATACTAAAATATTTTTTATTTAGTAATTGAACCTTGAAAATAAGGTCAAGGGCAAAGTACAGAGGAACTTCATCCCTTAAGATATCTGTATATAAAGATATGAACTATCCAGGTCTTTTATCCAATAAAATATAAAGCTTCCCACAAAAAAATATAAAAAATCTCTTTAATGTCTTAGTATTGCATATATGTCACAGGTGAGACAATAATCTGAAATCAATGTTCAAAATAATTCTGACATGAATTCAACAGACATAATAACTGCCAACAACATTATTGTTGAAACAGATTGAACTGGTTACTTATTATGAATCTTAAAAATGTATATTTATAACTTGATATAAGCTCTTATGAAATTGGAAATTGCTTCTGCTCTAACTTAGTGGTATTGTCAATTTCACACAAGTAAGAGATATATAACCAAAGGAGTATTGTAATAAAATCAAGTGCTTCATTTTCCAATACACGTTATTCTGAATATCAACATGATCAAATTTACCAGTCACTTTATTTCAGTGCCATTACTATGATACCAAAATTGCAAGTAAATCAGTTTGGATTATTTTTGTTAATTAAATAAAAATCCACAAAAGTTTAAATTAGTGTTCTATCATGTATTTTCAAATAGCACCCCAAATCCATGGATACTCGAGATACATGTTTTTAATTAGCACTATGTCCCCCAAAATCAAATCACTGAAATACTTCTGTTGTACCCCCTTTGTTGGTAGACAAACATAGTCATACATGTACATGTACATGTTGGGGGATTCAAAAGGAATTCTTACCCTACAAGGAACCGGTGATAACTCTGAAAATTTCCCAATTTAATCTCAATGGCATAAATTTCCTAATTAGGACAAGAAAACCCCAAAATGAACAAAAAGTTGTTAAAATGTTCAGAAAAAATTGATATAATTAAGTTATACATAAAAATTTCTGAAATTTTTTTCTTCTTAACATATTAAAATTTTGAAAAAAATCAAAAAACCAAATGTTTGTGAGCTTTTATTGTTGTATTTGTTGAACACCATTAATAAATAGCCAGATTAAATATTGCAACTTATGGGAAATGATGCATTTACATAAATTCTATCCATCTATTATAATTTTCCAGATAAAAGGCAAATTTAAAAAAAAAATTGTCATTTAAGGGTAATAACTCCTATAAGAATTCGTCTGACAGTTTTGATGTAAATAGATAATAGGTAGAGCTCAAAATTTTGCCAATTTTTGCACTGACAGATTTTTCTATTTATAGCTATTTTCAAAATAATAGGCAAAACTTGCATTTTACCCCTATGTTCTATTTTTAGCCATGTCAGCCATCTTGGTTAGCAGACGGGGTCATATATAGGACACATTTGTTAAACTGAATACCCTACTGATGATTGTGGTAAAGTTTGGTTTAATTTGACCATGTAGTTTCAGAGGAGAAGATTTTTAAAAGTTAACAGACAATGACAACAGACACTAAGGGATAAAAAATTAAAGCTGACACTAACTTCTAGACTCTTTGACTATATAAAAGTGTTTTTTGTTGCTTGTCACTTTTAGAAGTTTGCAGCCCCCATTTTAAGTCTACTTCTACACCACTGTGGTTATAACTGATAGAAGTTATAGAAGTAATGTACATAATAATGTAATTAATAAGTATGAAAGATGAGAAAAAGGTAAACATCAGGACTGAGGTTAAGTAAGTTAAGATATTGGCCCAAAGACACTTTAGGTGTGAATAACTAATATTCCAAATACAAGGAAATGTATGTCACCTATCCCACAACTTCCTTTCTATAATGAATCTCTTTTGTTAGATGAATATGAACCCTAACTTCCCGTTTAATAGTATCACTAATAGTATCACGCAATATTAAATACAAATACCTGACACAAATCTTTAATAGATTTGTACCATGACACTATTTAATTTTTGTTAACATCACAAATTTAAAATGCTGAGATATTTAAATCTTTACCTCTGCTTTTCAACAAAAATCAATGACAAAAATTAATCATAAACCTGTCTTCATTTGACTGATATGTTTACATAAAAAGATATGAAATTTCTCTTGGACAGGATGTTGATAATTAAGTCTTTTCACTACCAGTTTATAAATCTCTTATTTTCTCAGATCTAAATTTGTCAAGGTTCAAGTTACACACCTTTTTAGGAAAAATTTAAATACATAAAATATGAATATTTACTTAGAATCATACTAGCTGTTTTATTGACCTAGCCACATACATCTCCTTTTAATTATTTTAAATTCTTATTGGTATAATGACAATTAAACTTTAATGGTACTTAGGTACTGATGGCCACTGTTGTCAAGTGATGTACTTAATTATTAAAAAAAATCCAATTTGTTAGCAGGAACATTAACCTAATCTTAATACATTGTACATACATGTACAAGTGCTAAGTTCAATTGGCTTTTTTTTTAAATCTAGAGGTATTGAAAATTATCAGAACTTTTATGTTTTGAACTCAGAAAACTATCAATATAGTTGACATGTTTATATGCAACCCATTGAGAATATTTGTGTGTTAATATTTTATATAATAAGTTGTATTAATGCTTTTTACATATGCTTTAGGCATTATTAAAATTATTTGTGTCTCTCAATTATAAAAAAAATAATTGTAATTTAGTAATAAATTACTTTGCTCATTGATCATGGACCCTTTAATTGTCATAAATGACTCTGTTTGTTTGAGGGGGAATTATTGCAGAAAAAAGTGCACTTTTTTTTAATTTCAAAAGTATACATATAGGTTGATCCATTGAGTTATACACATTATTGATAAACATGGAGATTTTAATATGCTCAGTGAGTGTCAAATTCAATCTAGCTTACTGGGGTCAGTCATGTCAGTTGTATGGCATGGTTAAAATGGTAAACCCAAAGCAAAAATTTCACCAAACAAATGGAAATATAACTTTTTTTCAAACAAATGGAAATATAAATTTTTCAAACAAATTCTACAGCAATAAAAGTAATAAACAATCAACAAGCTAGCTCCCAAAATCTTACAATATATAACATGTGGTATAAAAAATCATTAATCTCCAACAAACTGGGCAGAGGCTCCACAAGTTTGTTCAATACAAAATATTTTAGTACTCTGTTGTGAAAATGGTGATCACTTTGTTTTCTTAGGTCAAAAGCACCTGACTCTAACCAGTAATTGACCCTTATTATGTTCAGCTGTACATTTCTGTCTAAAATAAAAAGAAATATTATATTGAAGCTGTAGTTGCTTCATTGCCATGTACAAACATGTAGATTGTGAGGAATAACAGAAAATAATCTAACTTCTAAGACATATTTTAATTTCATTTTAATGATACATAGAAAATTTAGAGGCCATTCTGGTTGACTTTCTTGATGTTATGTTATGCTGGGGGATATTTGTAATTGAGTGTTTAAATGTCATTTGTAATTATATGGGTGGTTTAATTTTTAAATGAAGTCCATTTAATATGATTATGTCTGAGTATTAACATATACTTTATAACACCAAGATATTCATTTTGTACATATGAGAAAGACTGTATCATTCATTATATACCTACAGGTACATATTCACCTATGTCATGTATGTATTTAGTGTTAAATTAACAAACACTTCACATAAATTATCACATTGAAATGATTAAGCTTTATATAATCTAATAAATAGTTGGGACCCACAATTCTTCATTGTTACACTCTGTCCTGGCGATATAAAGTGTTGGTCACCTATGGTCATCTCTTGCTTTATACACTGTAAGTGGACAATAAAATATTTCATTGATGATAATCTAAAGTAAATGTCTACCACAGTTGGAAGTTTTTATCAGAAAATCATTTAAACATGTCCCGCAGTATAAATTTATGGACTATAAGATGATGACAGTTTTATGGTCAGATTATAACTGAAGTATACAAACGGTTTTATAGAACCATAACAATACAAAGGTTTTAATGTCCAGGGACTAACAACTTTATGTGTCCTGACAGTCATTTACATGTCACAATCAAATTCAATTTGTCCTTTACACAATTAGAATGATACATACATGAAACATACTACATGTATATATCCAACCAAGTAATACATACTGAAATTAGAAGTGAGGAATTTTTCTGCCCAAAAAAAGTACAGTAGATAATTGCGTTCAAAAGATAAAAAAAATAAACAAACAGGACTACATGTACAAATGCAGCAATAGCTATATATAGGTGAATGGATATTCTGTCTGCAAAAATTCTCCAGTCGCCCTAAAAATCAAATGGTCGTCCCCTAAAATTTGCAGTCATTCTTTTACAAAAATTCACAATATATACCACTTATAAATACTATAACAAATATTTCAGCCTTCTTTTACTTAAGGGGTCCCAATCCAAAAAAGAATTAAAGTAAACCAAGTCTTACCCTAAAAGAAGGCCAGACTATATCATCTTAGTTATAGTAAGACAGCAAAGCTAGGGATGGAAGATTTCAAAGTACGGAAAGGAATTTACATTAGGGAACCCAAATCCAATCTGGATTGAAGCTATACTAATTAGGTCATTATATTTCTGAGTTTATGGGTTCATGAAAGTACACAAATGTAAATATGCATGAAAAAGAAATATATTTTGTGAGAAAGGTTAGGAAGGGGAGGGTGTTAAAATCTGAGAGAAAACATTGAAAAGGGAATATGGCTTTTGGCTATATGTTCATTGCAACTATGAAAAGAGAAGCAGGAAAACATGAAACATGTGAAACCAACATCTGATGCAATGTTGAACTGGTTTTAAATTTGTACCTGGAACTCTATGGGACATGTATGTGTAAACCCTGTCATCTGTTATTGATCACCTTTAATAAGCTCCTTACCATCTAATATACACATCTTGCCATCGATTTCTGTGTGTTGAATGTATGAGTCTTCTATTGTAGGATCATAATCCTCTACAAACATCTTCTGAAAGAACTGGATGGTGAGAGCTGATTTTCCCACGCCTCCATCTCCAACCACAACAATCTTGTAAGACATCAATTCATGCTTAGACATCACTGGATTTCGTTCTTAATATTTAATCATTTAGAGAATCTCATTCCTTTTCAGTCTTTTGACTTTGTTTTTGTTGCTGAAGCTGGTAGGCGTCGTTGGTTACGATTCTCTGTCCTCAAAATCAAAGTATGTTTTCTGAATTTGAAATCGCAAATATCACACCTTGTCAGATTAGTCTACAAGACAAAATATGTTTTATCATAGTTTCTAGTCAAAACTAGGTTGACACGCGTCTTTATGTTGTCTAATTCAACGCACTTTGGTCCTTATATGCGACAACATGTGATTTATGAAAATGAATAAAATGGCTGCTTAAAGAAACGTTGTATATTTAAAGCGATCGTTCATTGGTCGTTTATTTTAAGGTCGTCCTAGTTCTCTCTAATGATTAGTTATTATTTTTAGAATTAAATCCCACCACGTTTTTGTTTGTTTACAAATATTATTAACCTACATCTTAACCGCTACCTGTGTATACCACTGTCTATGATCATAGTAAGTCACGGTTAATAATAATAACCAATGATTTTATATTTTATATTGATACCATAGAATTACAATCATTTTTATTTCTTATGAAGCAAGAAATCATGCAATCTGATTGGTTAAGTACCCTGGTGTAAAAAAAAACACCCCACCCAGTTCACCCGGTGATAGAAGTTTGCCAAAATTGCCAAAATTAGCAAAAAAATAAGAAAATAGCAAAAATTCAAATGTTCAAAATTGCACAATTAAAATTTTGCCAAATTTAAAAAAAGATAAAATTTTGCAAAAATAAAAAAAAAAATGCGTAATTGCAATTTTTTTTTTTCAAATTTAGAAAAACATTTCTTTTTCTTAAAAAAATCCCCTAAATTATAAATATTTTACAAAGTTCCTACAAATAAAAAAAATTGAAAAAGGCAATACATCGGTGTTGAAAAAATGTGTAGTGGAAGCTCTTCCATGATAACAAATTTTAAATTTTATTCCCCGGTATAAAATAAGTAAAGGAACTTAAAATAAGAAATAAATTCGTTATCTTGGTGTAATCAGGGATGTACGGAATTTTACACCGATGTTGAATTCTATACACCACTGATTACACCAAGATAACTATTATAACACAATGAATAATAATAATGATAATAATAAAAAAAAAATAAAAAGAGTAAAAACGGAAATAAAAAAAGAAAATTGCCCCCCCCCCCTAAAACGATACATAGAACCGTTTTTTATTTGTAGATTTTCTGTGTCTTTTATCCACAGCTAACTATATTTCCAGACTGTTTATGACTTCTTTGTACTAAATACGTTTGATGTGTACGGATTGATAATACTCAACTAGCTTTCACTGCGATAACTCCTATATCGGTGCCTTGTGTAATTGTTTTTATGTTACTTGTTTTTTTTTTTTGTGCTTTGTACCCATCTATTTAGTTATAAAGCAACGGATTTTAAAGTTTGTTCTTATGTTGTGTACACCACTGTCTCAGGTAAAGAGAGTGGGTTTGATACTGACATGGTTTATAAGATTCTTTTCTTGAATTCTTCGTCAATAAATTAAGAAATTATTAAGAAGTAGTCTCTCGTGCAAAAGTTGATGATTTAATGAATGTGGCTACTCTTTTTGGGGCTCGAGCGTTCATGAGACGTTATGAATTCTTACATTTAGACATTCGAATTCTCTCGATCTTACATTGAAACGCAATACATTCTTCCGATCTTCACCTCGACATCGATTAAATTTTTCTGATTCGGTACATTGAGACCTTATACCTGTACATTCTCCCGAACTTAAATTGAGATGTTGTAATCTTCCAAATCTTCCGTTGAGACATTATACGTTCTTCCGATCCTACTTTGAGACATCATACTAGTTTTTTTCCCCGATCTTATACATTGAGACAGTATACATTCTTCCGATCTTACCTGGAGACATTATACATTCTTCCGATCGTACCTGGAGACATTATACAGTCTTCCGATCTTACCTGGGGACATTGTACATTCTTCCGATCTTACATTGAGACTTTATAAACTCCCTTACCTTTTGAACTAATTAAAATTCTAAGTAAACAATCTTTCATTAAATCAATTATGGAGGTCCTGACATATTTCAGGAGGTTCTCAATGATTTATTGGTATTTTGAATTCGAATTATGAGGTCCTGAAATATTTCAGTAGCTGCTTAAATACAATAATTATTATCATTTTGATTTTCAGTACTTTCATAACTGTTTGCCTGTGACCTTGTGCGTTAAAAATGTGGGATATCTCATTAACTTGGCTCACGGACGAGACGGTCGAATTACCATGCTTGATGTTTGGGGTCCAGTATGACAGCGCTTGATGTTTGGGGTCCAGTATGACAGTGCTTGGTGTCTGGGCTCCAGTATCCAGTAGGTAAATGGTTTCCATTCACACGTGTATAGTATTTGTCGGGGACTTCACTAATTTAAAGATTCACACAATTACAAATACTTGATAAAAAATTAAACAACGTTATCAGTTCAAATAAAATACTCTTATTAAAGTAGTAGGATTCTTTAAATGTTTCTTCTGGGTGATCTACAAGCATTAAATACCAATTGATCGTAAATAATTGATCCGCCTTATAAAATAAAGACATATCTTCGATTTAGACATCATCTGCTAACACGTATTGAAGTTAAATCTGATTATCTTGATTTAGGAAAATAATCTTTAAGTCGAATGGAAAGAATGTAAAACTTTATAACGCCTGATTTGTATTGGTTTGAACCAACATGTTAAAATCGTCATCCATATCAACATGGATATAAACATATTTCTCCCGCAGTCTTTACCCCGCTTTAATGAGGATGTAAACAACTGTATATATAGAGCACAGGCACATCACAAATGTGGTAGGATTAAATAGTTTTTCCTCTTACCCGGACAGTGGTGTAACAGCACTGAAAAAAACTGCAAAAAGCAGCTGTAAAAGGCTTGACTCATCAAATATAAGCACTTACCACATAAAAAAAAACATAAGAAAAAAAAAAAACAAGGTACCGGTGAATTTAGTGTATAGACGTCATAAAAAGCCCAAGAAAATATGGCCTTGTGCATGCCAATGCGAAAATATAAGTATCGACAGGATGTAGGACCAAACGTGTTCACAACTGACGATAAATGTACAGCCATACACATTCAGTTAAGTTTTGATTAATCAAAATCAAAATAAAAGACAATATTCAAAGATCTAACTAAAGAGTTAAATTGATAACCTTTCAGAATAAGTTTATTCGAAGGATCGATAAGTTTACATGGACGATATCCAAATGTACGGGCTCTATAAATAACATGACTGTAAAAATATTAGGAGGTGATTTTCGTATTATAATTTAAGAATTCTTGATTATTTAAGCAAACAAGATATTACCATCAATATAACGATAGGTGATATTGATTTTTCTATAAACTGAAAAGACGGATTTTACTGAGTGTATTTACAAACTGTGCGTCATAACAATGAAGGAACAAGTCTGCTATTCAAGGGCACAAATAGTGCTCATAGGAATGCCGAAACGTACATAGCTGTTGTCAGGAGAAAATTAACAGCTTTAGTCATCTCATTTTCTTAATGTTCATCTAGAATACTTACCTTTCTCATTACAGATTAAGAGTTGCAGTAATTAAGTTTGCAATCAGATGAGAAAATTTCTGTTTGATAAGATTGTGTGGAAGTGTAATGTATAGAGTCGAAAAATCAACCGAATCAAAAGCACCATAAAAAACACGTAGTTAATCTAAAACATCCAAAGAGTTTTTTTTAAACTGATAAACAATTAATTCCAGTATTTTCATAAAATAGATAATAAGTTATTTAATTGTAGTCAGGGATTGTAGAAAACTCATTAGAAGCCTTAGATGAAACAATATTTGACGTTTTTCATGTATCGATAATTAAGCAGCCGATACCTAGAAGGAACTTTTGAATGGTCAGAAGAAACTTTAAGCTTAAATGACGGTCTACTATTTGACTCTCCGCCGTGGAGCGCACGGCTTTGAATGCAGAAGAATTTACAATTTCCTTCCAGAAAAACTTCCGTGTCGTATTTACGTCATATCAGAAGCACACTGTTGACTGCTTTGTAGACAGGCCACGACGGGCACGAACACAAAACGCTTGATACTTGAAGTTAAATTGAAATCATAGAAATGGGCGTATAATTAACCCTTATATTATTGCCTAACTTATTTTCGAAATGTGATACATTTATTCAAATAAGAATCAAGTGATTTTTTTTGGTCAGATTTACACCGTTTACACCAATTTTTACAAAAGGATGAATGTGCATTTTGCATGATCTGATGACACTCTTTCCAATTCATTTTTAATGGACGATAGTTTAGTTCTTTTTTCAAAAAGTTTATAACCTCTCGGTCTTGAACGATTTTGAGGTCCCCTGTAATAACATTGCCGTAGAGATCGAATCTATACGTTTCACAGTCTCATGTAACCCGAATAATTCAGTCGCTATACTCCGCTGATCTACGATTACTCCATTAGTAGGAGAGATCGATTACGAGGAGGGACTGAATTATTCGGGTTAAGTTTCATGTTGAAGAAGAAAACTATCTATATTGAAGTCTGATGTAACTGACTTATAATTAAAAAATTAAACTTATACTGTTGTTTTTTTTTATACGTTTACGAAATATTAGGTGGTTGTATGTTACGAAGTAGGGAGGTATAAAGTTTTAAACGGTAGAGTAATCAAATATGATAGATAAGTTAATAAATCAATACTTTTATTATTCATGTTGATGTATTTTATTCTAAAAAAAAATGCCTTTTATGATTTTCAGGTTTATCAATCAAAGAAACAGCCCATGGTGACAAAAAAATTCAATGATACTCGTACACTTATAAAGACTGAAAAACGACATTGTATCACACTCTTTGAAAACATTTTGTTATTTAAATCTCATATATGAGGAATTAAAGAAATGAATGTATGGAAGTTTGCATAATACTGATAGCTACAATGGTTCTCAAATATGGACAAGAGATGACCAGACGTAGAATTGGTTCGATGTTGATTTGGTTTATACGTTTGCATTGAGACCTATAATAGCGTTCACTTCTATTATCAATATTCAGCATATCAATAAAAGAAGTTTTTAATTATGTTCACCTGTCCCATGACATTGCCATTAGACTGAGGGGATGTTCAGCTTTCTTTTGATAAGATATATGGTAACCTGATTTCAGGAAACCTGCATATAAAATTATGTACTAAGCATATACCTTGAACTCAGGAAAAGGCCAGTAATATATCTGTTTTATCTGAGCTTGGGGGTTTCTCTG